TGCAGTCAGGAAGCAGAGAGTGATGGGGGCTGGGGCTCAGCTCGCTTTCTGTTCAGTGTGTGACCACAGCCTACCACCATCAGGGTGTTTCTTACCTCAGCCAGCCCAATCTAGAAACTTCACAGACATGCCTAGATCTGTCAAGATGACAGCTGATACTAATTGTCACAATCCTATGGGCTTTGTTTTTATTTTGAGTTATGTGATTATATTACCTAGTGATAGGTATTATAAAAGTCCCCCTGTAGTGGGTAACTCTGCTGGTGCAATAAGTCAAATTAATAGTCCAGATTTGCCGGGTGGTGGGGGCGCACGCCTTTAATCCCAGCACTCGGGAGGCAGAGGCAGGCGGATCTCTGTGAGTTCGAGGCCAGCCTGGACTACAGAGTGAGTTCCAGGACAGGCTCCAAAGCTACACAGAGAAACCTTGTCTCAAAAAACAAACAAAAACAAAAACAAACAAACAAATGTCCAGATTTGATGAGCCAAGCATCCCTGGGTGATCTCAGGGGAAGAGGAGAAACCATGAGGCAAGTCTGCCGGCCGGACCTTCAATATCCTGTCGGGGTGGTCTTGAGGCGCTCTGGGGGAGGAGCTACTGCTTGGCAGGCTTTCTTTGGGTGGGGTTTGGAAAGGGAGGAGTGGGGCCGAGTTCTCAGCCGAACATCTGGGTGGGGTTTGGAATGGGACCCAAGCTGGTGATTGCCAACACCTAGCAAATACTTTTTTAAATGCTTGATATATATCTCTCCTTATCAGGAAAAAGTTCAAGTTTTAGACTGCCAAGCATTATTGCCTTGTATGGATTTAACACATTTCACTGACTGCACCATTGGTGAAAACTTAAGAATGTTTTTGCCTTTTCATACTTGTATTCTTATAGTGAAAAACTTCAAATATGTGTTTGCACATGTGTACAAATATTTCAAGCAGAAAATTCTTAGAATTATGATAAAAAATAAATGTAATTTTGATTGTAGTAGCTATTTATGAAGTTAGTCCCTCTTTTAGCTTTATTGGCACGGAACAACTTATTGGCTATTAGTAAGTTCAAAGGCTTTCCACAGTTCTAGATTTCAGCTCCCCCAGATCATTTTCCTCCTCCAGTTTTCAATTCTGGAACAATTCTCTTGTGGAGAATCTAGTCCCTGTGTTTTAGAAGAGACTTATCCAGCCTTTCTCAGTTCTAGAAATGAGCCCATGACTCAGGTGTAGCCAATCATAGCACTATCCAGAAAGTGATAATTATTAGTATGTTGTACTGGATGGTTTTATGTCAACTTGACGCAATCTAGAGTCATCAGAGAAGAGGTCAGTGTTAGGAACATAAGTAAGACCATTTTGTGTTACTTGAAAATTGTTTTTTGGGGGCTGGAGAGATGGCTCAGAAGTTAAGAGCACTGGCTGCTCTTCCAGAGATCCCGAGTTCAATTCCCAGCAACCACACGGTGGCTCACAACCATCTATAATGAGACCTGGTACCCTCTTCTGATGTGTAGGCATACATGCAGGCAGAACACTGTATATATAATAAGTAAATAAATGTTTTTTTTAAAAAAATGCTTTTTGTAATTTGGAATAATGCAGGGCTTGTAACATAAAAGCCTGCTACAAGGTGGTTCAGATACAGGCAAACCCAAGACCGGCCTTGATATGCTAATGAACTAACCCCAAGATAGCACTGATAAGTCAATGAACCAGCCTGAAGAGTGAGCCCTGATAGTGCAATGAAAACTAGGAACTTTGGAGGTGGCCCCTGGGATTGCAATGTTGTTCTGCTATCAACTTTGCTGACACCCATTGGCAAGAGGACTTTGAGACTGGCCTCTGTATGTGGCCCTGGTTTTGGAGACCTTTGAACCTACGGCACCATTACTGAGCTCATACATGCCCACCTGCTAATGATAACCACTGGCCAATGTGCTCAAGGACCTTCTGAACCTCCATCCGCTCCATCCTCCTGGCAAGGGTTGAGCCTGCAAAGCTCCTGAAGTGTTCTAATCAGAGAAGATGTCCCGGTGGAACCCCGTATCAGCAGATTTCTGCCCAACAAACTGCCCCCCACTTGGGGAGATGTGTTTAACCTTTATGTTAGCATGGTAGACTAAGGAATGTTTGTGGGACTAAACCAAGACTATTTGAAAGACAGAATTCATGTGGCCATCCTAATTGCTGCGCCCCTCCCAGCCTGCTGCAGTCAGAGCTTTATCACAGAGACAGGAGTGGAAGTAGACCATTTGGGTAGAAGGCCAATTTAAAAGTGTTGCTAGGAGACAGATGACAGGCAGACAGGAAAACAGATGACACCTTACTGACACGGCTTGAGCTTCTGACCCATCCTGCCTGTGGACACTTGCACAAAACAATATATTTCCCTCTGTTGCTTCAAATTTTTTCGCTCATGTTCAATCAAGATTCTTTGGTTATTGGCCTAGAACAGTTCTATTCTTAGTGTGTTGCTTGCCCTGTAACTTTATGCAGGATGATTAGTTTTACCTGCAGAGATTTTTTTTCTTGGTGTACAGGGTATTGAACATAGTACCTCCTGTGATCGGCAAATACTGTTGCTGAACTAAGTTCTTAAAGGTCCCGCGTATTTTTATTTCTAAAGTTTTAGAACTTTAGGTCCAAAATTGGAGTGTAGTTTTTGGTGTGGTATGAAGCATCTGAAAATGGAAATAATTCCATTTTCAAGCACAGTAATGAATTGTATCAATGCGTATGAGCATATACACACGCTGATTTCCCTTGGCATTCAGAGGGTATCGATGCGTATGAGCATATACACACGCTGATTTTTCTTTGGCATTCAGAGGGTCTCGGCATTACAGGGTAGATTTACTTCTTCAGCTTAACTGTATGTTTTAGATTTGATACAGTCACTATGTCTGGCACGTTACGGTTGCCTTGAAGATCTAGACAAGGTCTTTGCAACGAGCTTGTACTGATCAAAATGACACAACTCCAAGAACATTTCACATTGTCCCTATGTCTGTGTGCACCCGTTTCTATAAAATGCCTCTGGAATACTTCCGTTTCCCTCAAGACATTATTGTCTCAGTTTCTACCTAGGTACTCAAGCTAAGTCTCAATAGTCACTTAGTACAGGCCTGTAATCCCAGCTATTCCATAGGCTGAAGCAGGAAGGTAACAGGTTCAAGGCTACCCGGGCAATAGAGTGAGTTCAAGGCCAGTATGGGCAATTTAGTAAGACCTAGTCTCAAATTCAAAGTAAACAGAGGGCTAGGGACATACGGGGGGTGGGTGGGTGTAGAGAGCTTGCTTAGCATGGGCAATTTTTAGTTTTAAAAACAAACAATTTGTATTTCTTCCTTCAGGACATATTTCAGGGCAACCATGATCATGAATAGATTAAACACCAGTAAGACTTAATTTATGTTATTTTTACCTTATTTTCTGACTACAGGCATATCATATAATGACTGAATTAATTTGTTACCATGTTGTCAATATCCCTTTCTGGATTCTATGTGTGATATGGTAGTTATTTCTCTTATCATAAATAGTTTGTTTTCCTAGAGAATATAGTATATACTGCTCAGCAAACTCTGACATCTGTTTATTGGATTCCATAACCAGGAAAATTATATGCAAGGCCTGGAAAGATGGCTCAGCTGTTCAAAGCATGAACTGTGACACACATTGTCTCCTAGTACCCATGCTAGACAGCTCACAACTACCTGCAACTCCAGCTCCAAGGAGACCCCAAGTGTCTAATCTCTGTGAGCATCTACACCAATAAACAAAGATCCCCCACAACACACATACATATAATTAAAAATAAACCTCTTACAAATTATTTTGCTTTGTTATTTTACCTTTAATTTAGATATTCTTAAAATGATACACACAAATGTGACATAGTTTGTGCTTTATGACAGTCTCTAATTATATGATAGCAAAGATTGCAAGCTAAAATGTAAATTAGTTCATTTCATTAAATTTAATTATCACCACTGTAGACTGAATGAACAGCACACACACACACACAAATCCATGTCATACATGAAATAGTTATGTGCCATTTGAAACTGTTATATCAAAATGTGTGTTCACCTTTTGCTCAGGGAAACCCCTGGACAAAACAAAACAAAACAAAACAAAAACAAAAAAACAGCTCTGCTGGACTGTGGAGAGACCAAAGGATGGAAGAATGGTTCTCAGAAGCTTAATGAAGAGAATGAGGAAGATGGCTGCTTCAGTTACTTTTCTATTGCTGTGATAAAACAGCATGGCCAAGGCAATTTATTAAAAAAAGTGTTTACTTTGGCTTATGGTTCCATAGTTGGAATGAAGGCATGATACAGAAGCACCTGAGAGCTCATATCTCAAACAGTGAGCAGGAGGTAGAGAGCTTATAGGCATGGTACATAGCTTTTGAAACTTCAAAGCCAGCCCTCAGTGACACAGCTTCTCCAACAAGGCCACACCTCCTAATCCTTCCCAAACAGTTCACCAAATGGGGGAGGAGGAATAGGGGGAAGGGACCAAGTATCCAAACATATGAGTCTATGGGGCCATTCTTATTCAAACCACCACACCTCTTTTAAACAAAATAACTCTTAACCATTTTTTTAAAAATTAATTTTATGTGTCTGAGTATTTTACCTGCATGTATCTATGTACACCACATGCATGTCTGGTGCCCTCAGAGGTCAGAAGAAGGCATCAGATCCCCTGGAATCAGAGTTGTGTGGGTACTGGGAACTGAATCTGGGTCCTCTACAAGAGCAAGAGGTGCTCTTAGTTGCTGAGCCATCTCTCCAGCTTTCAAAATGAACTCAAGTTCCACTTCAGGTGGATGCTGCTTGGCAGTGTGGTTATGTGAGTTCTGCTTCCTTGTTTGGCTATCATTGAAGGATATGGTAAACTCAGGACTGGTCCATGGAGTTAGTGTCAGCTTTGTGGGCTAAAGGCCAAGGTAACCACTGTAGATTGTACTAGCTTTCTAAGAGGCAGGGAAACCAATAAAAAAAAAATCGATTTGGAAATAATCTTTTATTCTCAAAAGAAAACCAATTGAGATGGTCGGCATTGGACAGGTTTTCACAGAAATGCACAAACTAACATTGGATACCTGGACACATAACTTTGCAGCCTCATGCGACAGAGTTCTCTGTGATGACTTCGAGCTGCTAGCCTGTTCACTGAATATGGGTTCGTGAAAAGACAAGATGTAAGACACAGCCCTTTTCGCAAATGTTTTGAACATTTTTTTTTCTTACTGTAAACATGTTCTCCAGGAAATTCTCAAGATCCTCACTGAACTCCAAAGGCCTTTTCTAGTCCTTGAGTCACAATTCTGCAATGATTCCTAACAATCAGACTTTCATGAGGAGAAGGATCACAGAGGGAACTCAGTGGAGAAAGACCTGTAGGTCTCCACACGGAACCTGTGCTCTAAGAGATGAGTTACTTATACATAAATGTTTGTGGACTTTACAAATAAAATGATACATCGCTAACTCTCCCTTCTTTTATCCAGTCCATATTTAGAACTATTCTTCTACAAGGAAAACCTTCTAAAATAAAACTGCTTTCCCTGATCTCCACATAGCAGGAAGAACAGCAGACATAGAACATAATAGGAATCTGCGTTGCTCCAAACATATCACAGGACCGGATGATGCGAAACCCTTCACCAAACTTGGGACCATGACACCAATCACACCTGGATGTGCTGAAAAAAAGAAACATCAAATGGATATTTTGAGTTTCTACTAAGGTAAAAATTAATGCTTCGCTTTTATTGAGCTTACATCTACATAAGGTGCCTATTATTATGGTGATATTTTATTTGTACTGAAATGTGATTTTATTTGTATGTTAATAAAGAAAGTTGCCTAGGGGTCAGAGCTAATAGCAAGCCATAGCAGAAGCTGGGCGGTGGTGGCACACTTGGGAGGCAGAGCCAGGCAGATCTCCTTGTGTTCAAGGATACAGCCAGCATGGAGACACATGCCTTTAATCTCAATACCAACCTTAGAAGACCTGGAGGCCTGTATAGACAGACAGTGATGAGGAGGTCATGTGGTTGGGTTTACAACCAATGAGAAGGCAGAACAGAAAGTCAATAAAAGGACAGACACACAGGAAGTAGGTCTCTTTCTGAGGGGAAGGACAGCAGTGGCAGTGACGGTAAGAAAGAGTTTTTAGCTCTTGGCTATTGCTCTGACCTCTGGGCTTTTAACTCTGCAATTGGCTCTGTTTCTTATTTAATAAAACTGTTCATCTACATACTATTAAGTCAAAATTTAAGTCCTAATACAGGGGAGCAACAGATTAAATATGTGTGCAAGGAACCTGTTTTCTAAAGCAAAAATACATGTGCACAGTGCATTATAATTGAAAAGTGAGCTGGGCAGTGGTGGCGTATGCCTTTAATCCCAGCACTCGGGAGGCAGAGGCAGGTGGAACTCTGTGAGTTCGAGGCCAGCATGGTCTACAAAGCGAGTTCCAGGAAAGGTGCAAAGTTACACAGAGAAACCCTGTCTCGAAAAAACAAAAAACAACAACAGAAACCTCCCCCCCCAAAAAAAAGGTATTTTGATTAAATCCAAGCCTTTCTGGATACTATGCAAGCACCCTATTACTGAGCCATATTCTCATATCATGGTGGGAGTCAGTAGCATTTATGGCCAAAAAGCAAAAGGAACTGGGACCCCACAGTTCCATTAAAGGGCATGCTCTCCCAGGACCTGTGACTCTTTCACTAGGCCCCACCTCTTAAGGGCTGTTAATCTCCCAGTAGCAGCACTGTGGGGATAAGGACTTTGGTACATGGTTCTCTGAGGAACAGTCAAGATCAAAGCTATGCTGTATTTGTCTTTATTGAGTCAATACTGGTCTTTTATACATTCCTGGGAAACCATTTTACTTGGACAAACTATAAATATTTGTACAATCCATAGTCCCAGCAATGATGATAATGATTTCTTTACTTACATAGTCAAATTAATTATATAACATCTGAGTGGACCCTAATGACCCTAGTCTTGGGATTAGGTAGCAAAGTGCTAATTGTTCATTGATTCTCAATGCAAAAAAAAAAAAAAAAAAAAAAAAAAAAAAAAAGCCTTATCTACTCCTGGTATTTCTCAGGGCAGAATAGAGTAAAGCATATCCCTTGGGACTAAACAATTTGGGAAATGAATCTCTTCTGTGTATTTAGTAATTCACAGAAGAGGTTTAAATAATGGATGAATTAGATACTGTCCACCATCACTGAACTTCAGAAATAACTGGAGAATGTTATAAAACGGGACTGATTTAGAGTACTTTAGTATACTTGCAAAGCAAGAATGGGTAAAGGAAGATGTGTGTGTGTGTGTGTGTGTGTGTGTGTGTGTGTGTGTGTGTGTGTGTGTGTGTGTGTTAGTAAAATACTTAGAAGTGTACTTTGATAAAAAGCATGTTTGAAATTACTCACCTTCTTAGACACTTTTGAACTTTCTTTGGGATGAAACCAGGAATTCTATGTAGATTATTTTTGACAATGAACCAAGAACAAATTTGACTTAGTGGTTGGGGGTCATTCCAGCAATAATCTATCCAAAAATTACTATTAGTGAATGTATTATCAAACTGGAGTTTGGTCAACTTAAGCTTTAAAATCCCAGGTGGAAAAGAAGTCATGTAATTCCCATCAACATTCAGCTTCTCAAGTGATCTGTACATAACAGAAATTGTATTTTACAAAATAATCATACAATTTATAATATTGATGCAAATTTCTGCATTGGCATTTTTGAAACCTAGCACCAAAACTGATGGTAGTAAAGCATCTATTTTAATATTTTCTTAGAATCAAGAGAATTTCCTTATAAAACAACTGAACCAATCCATTATTATACAAAGAAGTGCATTTGTGTGAACAGGAAGTTGATGCATACATTGGGGGGGGTCTTTGCCAACTGTCATTACTCTGGAAAAAGAAAAAGTCACAAATGCAGGAAGACTAAACAGTGTTACACCACAAAAACAGTGTGGCGACATACAGAAAAATGTTATTTTCAATGACAAACTGAACACCAATGTCTATTTTTCATTAACGCCTAATAAAAACAGTGAAATATGTAACCTCACCACATACTGTTACGTTATGCTTTCACTTCTTGGCAGTTTGGTCCCCTTACTTTTCACTGTGTCAATTGTTTCTAACAATCCTTTCCCTTTACTCAAAGAATGAACATGACTGATTTTTCTCATTGCCTCAGTGATGTTTCCTGCAGTCATTTATCTCTTTTCTAATGATTGGTGAAAGTAGACATATGATGATATTTTATTTGTACTGAAATGTGATTTTATTTGTTTGTTAATAAAGAAAGTTGCCTGGGGGTCAGAGCTAATAGCAAGCCATAGCAGAAGCTGGGCAGTGGTGGCACACACCTTTAATCCGATCACATGACAGGCAGATCTCTGTGTGTTTAAGGATGCAGCCAGCATGGAGACACATGCCTTTAATCTCAATACCAACCTTAGAAGACCTGGAGGTCTGTATAGACAGACAGTGATGAGGAGGTCATGTGGTTGGGTTTACAACCAATGAGAAGGCAGAACAGAAAGTCAATAAAAGGGCAGACACACAGGAAGTAGGTCTCTTTCTGAGTGGAAGGACGGCAGTGGCAGCGAAGGGTAAGAAAGGCAGTTTTAAGTCTCAGGTCTCAGCTACTGCTCTGACCTCTTGGACTTTTAACTCTGCATTTGGCTCTGTGTTTCTTATTTTAAAAGACGGTTACATCTACACAGACAGGAAAGTTTCTGTAAACCAGAGACATACAAATAGCAAGTCATTGTCAGAACACTCTACAGGCAAACAGGCCTCTAGGTAGTTGAGCAGGTGGGGGCTTCTGAACTCTCTTTGACAATCTAGTCTCATAAACCCTTTTCCCCACATGGGGTTCTCTAATGGTAACTCTTTCTGACAAAAGTAAAATAAGATCAAAGTTTCAAACAAAGAGATTGGGCAACTCTTCAAATACAGCTTGACTACTGTTATTCTTGTGGTCAACTATATGTGAGGCAAACCCCAAGCTCCTATTTTGTCCTGAAAGACAGAATGTACACAATCATGTTCCCTCTACAGGCTACACAAACCTAGGGGTCAGTAGCAGAGTACTGCTATGACCTGAACATTTACATACTTCCTATACTCTTTATTAACATTATTTCATACAATATGTTTTGATCATGTTTCTTCCCCTACCCTAACTCTTCCCAGATCCCTCTACCTCCCTACCCACCCATCTTTATCTCTCTTTCTCTTTAAACACACACACACAAAAATAAAAATAAAAAAACCCTACAAAGCCAAAAGCCAAAATAAGATAAAAATGCCAAAACAAAAAAAAAGTACACACACACACAAAACAAAAAACTACACAAGTAACAACAACAACAACAACAAACATGGAATTCATTTGGTGATGGCTAACTAATCATAGGCATGGAGCCTGCCCTGGGGTGTGGTTACTATATCCAATGAGATTCCATGGGTAAAACTTTGATTTTCCCTTTGCCAGCATGGATCAGTTGCAAATAATTATTGGTTAGGAATGAAATACTACCATCCACATCCCCCTCTTGGTGCTGGGACCCTGTCTGGCTAGAACCTGTGCAGGTCTTCTGCATGCAGCCAGGTCCTGTGAGTTCATATGTGCATCAGTCCTGCCGTGTCTGGAAGATACTGTCCTTGGAGTCATCCAGCATCTCTGGGTCTTACAATCTTTCTACCTCCTCTTCTGCACAGATCCCTAAACTTTGAGGGGTAGAGTCTTATGAAGACATCCCATTTAAGACTTAGTGGCTCCAAAGTCTCTCACTCTCTGCACATTGTTTAGTTTTGGATCTCTGTGTTAGTTCCCATATACTGCAAGAAGTTTCTCTGTTAATGGCTGAGCAAGGCACTGATCTATCTCTATCCAGAATGTCATCATGAGTCATTTTATTGCTATGTTCCTTTAGCAAAATAGTGGTATTTGGTTTTACCTAGGTCTATGGACTATCTAGTCTCAGGCTCTTGGTCAGTTTAGCATCAGGTATGGGTTTCATTTCATGGAGTAGACCTTAAATACAATTGGAAAGTGGTTGGTTACTCCTATAACATGTGTGCCATCATTATGCCAGTACATCTCGCAGACAGGTCACTGTTGTAGGTTCCCAGTGTTTGTAGTAGGTGGATGGTCACTTTTATCCTCTGGTAGCATGCGAACCTTCCAGCACCATGAATCCTAGTCAGTAGGGATGAAGCTTCTAGTTAGGAACTAGCTTGACTTCTCCATGATCCATGAAATAAATAAGCAGGGTCTTCAACAATGGGCCCTTACCATAAGGTTGTGGAAGGCAACCAATAACCATGGCAATAACCTATGATGTTTGGGGAGGTTTCATGTGACCCCTTTGGCTGACGACTCAACAAGATGTAACCTATTCCTGGCATTGGATATTTTAGTTGGTGAAAAAGATGTCTAGGGGCCATTGTCTCCCCCATTATTTGATGACTCCATTTAGATTCCTTCTATATATGTCTATATTTTAGGAAGCTTCTACAGTAGTAAATTTCTATGTTTTTTCAAATGACCTTCAGTGTTGGTTGTCCCTCCCTGTATTTCCTCCGTTACCCTTTTCATCCATCCACCTTCCTATTTAATCCTCCTACTTTCCCATTTACCTCTCCAGAACATTCTTTTCTATTTTCCCTCTCATGGGAGATCCTCTGCTTCCAACTAGTGCCTTACTAGGCGCCTAACCTCTGTGGTTATTTAGATTTTAGCACGCATATTGAAAGGTTACAAGCTAACATTCACATATGAGAAAACACCTTAAATACAATGTTTGTCTTTTGGGCTCTGGGTTACACCATTCGGGATGATTTTTTTTTCTAACTCTATCCATTTACGTGCAAATTTCATCATTCATTTTTCTTAACAGCCAAATAATATTCCATTATTGTAAATGTGTCACATTTTCATTATGCATTCATCAGTTGATGGACATTTAGGCTTTTTCCCAGTTCATGGGTACTATGAATAGAACAGCAATGGATGTGGATAAGCAGGGATCAGCGGTAGGATGGAGAGTCCTCTGGGTACACGCTCAAGAGTGTTTTTGTTTGTTTGTTTGGCTCTTGAGCTTTAGGTATTGGTTCCTGGTTCCTAGCTTCCCGAGGAAAATCCACATTGATTTCCATGGTGGGTGTATCACATTTGCACGGCCACCAGTGATGAGTAGCAGTTTCACGTTCCCCACCAACAGGTGCTCTCTTTTGTTTGATTGATCTTGGCCTTTCTGACTAGCGCAAAATGAAATCTCAAAGCAGTTTTAATTTGCACTTCCCTGATGATTAAGGATGGGGAGCATTATTTCAGAGTTTCTCAATCATTTGTGTTTCATCTTTTGCAAAGTCTCTGTTTAGTTCTGTCCCCCACATTTTGTAACTGGTTTGTTTTCTTGATGTTCAGGTTTGCTTGTTTTAATATTTCAAGCATTCTAGACATTAACCCTCTATAAGAGGTATAATTGGTAAAGATGTTCTCCTATCCTATAGGCTTCAACTCAACCCCATGCCCAAAAAGCGAGGTGGGGAGGAAAGGGTTTGTTTGGCTTACACTTCCACATCGCAGTTCACCATCTAAGAAAGTCAAGACAAGAGCTCTCAAGCAGGGCAGGAACCTGGAGGCAGGAGCTGATGCAGAGGCCATGGAGGGGCACTGCTTCCTGGCTTGCTCCCCATGGCTTGCTCCGCCTTCTTTCTTTCTTTCTTTTTTATTTAAAAGGTTTTTTTTTTCATTTTACATACCAACTATAGTTCCTCCTCCCTCCCCTCCTCCCATTCACTCCCCACTTCCCCCTTCCCCTGCCCCCAACATCCACTCCTCAGAGAGAGTAAGGCCTCCCACGGGGAGTCAACAAAGGCTGGCATAACAAGTTGAGAAATGACCAGGCCCCTTCCCCCTGTATCAAGGCTGAGCAAAGTATCCCTCCATTGAGAATGGGCTCCAAAAAGCCAGTTCACGCATTAGGGAAAAATCCTAGTTCCACTGCCAGGGGCCCCACAAACTGCCCAAGCTACATGACTGTCACCCACATTCAGAGGGCCTAGTTTGTTCCCATGCAGGTTCCCCAGCTGTCAGCCCAGAGTCAGTGAGCTCCAACTAGCTCAGGTCATCAGCCTGCTTTCTTTCTTTCTTTTTTTTTGGTTTTTCGAGACAGGGTTTCTCTGTGTAGCTTTGCGCCTTTCCTGGAGCCCAGGCTGGCCTCGAACTCACAGAGATCCGCCTGCCTCTGCCTCCCGAGTTCTGGGATTAAAGGCGTGTGCCACACCGCCCGGCACAGCCTGCTTTCTTATAGAACCCAGGACCACCAGCCCAGGGATGGTACTACCCACGATGACCTGGACCTGCCTCCAACAATGAATAATTGAGAAAATGCCTTAGAGCTAGATCTTACGTAGGCATTTTATCAATTGTGGTTCCCTTCTTTCAGGTAATGCTAGCTTATGTCAAGTTGACACAAAACTATCCAACCCAGGTTATGTGTTTCTATGTTGCAGTCTTTGATTTCGAATGGAGTTTTGGGCAAGAAGATAAATACAGATCTATTTTAATTCTTTTATACGCAGCCATCCAGTTTCACAGGCAACATTGGTTGAAGATGCTCTCTTTTCCCCATTGTATATTATTGTTTCTTTGTTCCTTTTGGTGGATTGTTCCCATAATGATTATGTAGTGTCCTTCCTTATGTCTTCTGATTAGTTTGTCTCATATCTATTCTGTCACGTATTAAAATATCTACACTTGCTTGCTTCCTTGGTCCATTTGCTTGAAATACCTTTTTCCATCCTTTTACCCAGAGTTGCTGTCTATTCTTCAAGGTGAGGTGTACTTTTTGGATGCAGAAAGATGGATCCTGTTTTCTAATCCAATCTGTTTGTGTCTTTTTATTGGGGGATTGAGAGCACTAACACTGAGAATTATTAATGAGCAGTATTTATTGATTCTTGTTATTTTGTTGTTGTGGTATGGGTATAGTTCCAACTTTTCTGATTTACTGTTCTTGGATTACTCATTCCTTGTGTCCTGGGTGTAGTTAACCTCTGCAGATGGAAGTTTTCCTTCTAGAGTTTTCTGTGGAACTGGATTCATGGATAGAAATTGCTTCAATTTGGTTTTATCACGGATGTTTCTCTTTCTGTTGTTGTGATTGATGGCTCTGACAGCTCTTAACAGTCTGGGCTGCCGTCCATGGTCTCTACAAGTTTGTAGAACATGCACCCCAGTCCTTAGGGCTTTCAGAATCTCCACTGAAAAGTCTAATGGGCATGCCTTTATATGTGACTTCTTGGGTTTTTCCCTTGCAGCTTTTGATATCCTTTTTTTGGGGTTGTTTTCTGTTCTGTACATTTAGTGTTTTGATTATTACATGTCATGGGGAATTTCTTTTCTGATCCTGTCTAACTGGTGTTCTGTAGGCTTCTTGTACTTTGATAGGCATGTCTTCTTCTTCTTTTTAGATTGGGGGGAATTTTCTTCTATGATTTGTTTAAAAATATTTTCTGTGCCTCTGACTTAGGTTTCTTCTTCTTCCTCTATACCATTGGTCTTTTCATAGTTTCCCAGATTTCCAGGATATTTTATGCCTGAATGTGGCTGCTTTTAGCCCTTGTCCAAAGAGTCTCCCTGAGGCTAAAGTGAAGAGTTTTGGATTAATTCTATTGGCAGAGGAAATCTCAAAACATCCTAGTATAGACTCTGTCTGTGTGGTCATTAGAGTTAACTCTAATGAAGATTTATAATGAAAAACTAAGCAGATAAAAATACAAAATGTGCAGATTGAGTAAAGGGGCACCAGGAGGTGGAATAGAGCTAAATCTTGGGTTCAGTGAAATGAACAGATTAAGAAATGGAATGAAGGTAGTAGTGACTTCAGGACAAGATCCCACCCAGATAAGTTTCCAGTAAGTAAAAAAGAATTAAAGAAAACATTGGAGCTCAGTGTGGTGGTGCACACCTTTAATCCCAGCACTCAGAAGGCAGAGGTGGGCAGGTCTCTGAGTTTGAGGCCAGCTTGGTCTACAGAGCGAGTTCCAGGACAGCCAAGCTTAGGCAGTGAAAGAAACCATGAAAAACAGAAAACTGGGGAAGGTGACATTAAACAAGGGGGCCATGTTCCAGCCCTAGCAAGCAGCAGAACTTGGCAGCTTCAGCCATATGGTTCTGGCTTTAAGGATAGAACAAAAGGGTTATAGAATTTGCTTTAGCCACTAAGGAAAGCTGCTGAGGCCAGGCATTTGTCAGAGGTGACATGGATGCCTAGAGAGGCCATTGTGTGAAGCTGTGAAGTTGAAGCCTGAATTGCCTTGGAGACCCCAAGATGTTAAAGATGCCAGAATCATGGGATATCTGCTAGGAGAACTGCTAACATGGAGTAGAACCACCTAAAGAGAAAGAAGTGTGTTTCAGTCAATAAAGCTGAAAGGAGGTTGGAGCTATGAAGAGCATTTTGACATCAGACATGGAGATGCATGGTTTGGAGTTTGCCCAGCTGGTTTTCAGTCTTGCTTTGGTCTAGTATTTCCTCACTATGCTCCCTTCCCTGTGTTTTGGAATGGTAATGTATATCCTGTGCCATTCTATGTTGAAAGTATGTGATCTGTTTTTTGATTTTGATTGTATAGGGGATTACAGTTAAGAGATTTCATGAATCTCAGAAGAGACTTTGACCTTTGGACTTTTAAACATTGTTGAGACTGTGATAGACTATGGGGACTTTTGAAGTTGGAATGAATGCCTTTTTACATTATGATGTGGCTACAAGCCTTAGAGGGCCAGGAATGGAATGTGATGGTTTGAAAGAAAATGGCCCCCAAAGGGAGTGGCACTGTTAGGAGGTGTGGCTTTGTTGGAGTGGGTGTGGCCATGTTGGAGAAAGTGTGTCACTGTGGAGGTGGGTTTTGAGGCTCATATATGTTCAAGCCATGCCCAGTGAAGAATGACTACTTTGTGTTGCCTATGAGTCAAGATGTAGAAATCTCAGCTCCTTCTCCAGCACCATGTCTGCCTGCATCTGCCTTGCTTCCTGCCATGACAATAATGGACTAAACCTCTGAACTGTAAGTCAATCCCAATCAAATATTTTCCTTTATAAGAGTTGCTGTGGTCATGGTGTCTCTTCACAGTAATAGAGACCATGACTAAGACTAGTAAATACACAGAAAAATGAACTCTATCTATCATAACAACAACAAATAGGCCAGATTCTCCTAGTAAAATATAAAGATTACTACATAATACTTAAAAAATTTGGTAGAAACATTAGAAAACCGGAGGAAGCCATTTTCTTGTTTTGCTGAAGATATGATTGTGTTCTAAGGAAACCAATTAGGCAGGGAGAACTCATAGTGGAATTTGGTTATACAGTTTGATTTTTTTAATTTAGTTTAAAACAGTACATCTTTTCTATCCTGTATCTACCTTAATCAGCAAATAATGGAAAGAACAGAAATATTATGTATGGAAACACGGTTTGAAATACTTGGAGACCGTTATTATGGAAATTCTGAAGTGAGTCATAATTTCTTATGAGGGACGTAAAGTAAGATTTGAGAGGCTAAAGAGACAGTTCAGTGGCTAAGAGCACCTACCTTAGCTCTGGCTAAGGACTGAGTTTCAATCCCAGTACCCACATCAGCTGGCTTACAACTGCCTGTAACTCCAACTCCGGGGAATTCAGTGCCTCTGGCCTCTCCAGGCACCTGTCCTCACATGCACACAATCTCATACATACAGATATGTAATTTAAAATAAAATCTTTTAAAAGATTTGAAAGATTAAGAACATATGTTTTAGTTTTTAGTTTTATTATTTATATTTGTGTGTGTGTGTGTGTGTGTGTGTGTGTGTGTGTGTGTGTATGTGTGTGTACATGTGTGCAGTGCCCTTGGAGGCCAGAAGAGGGCATCTGATCCTGGAGCTTGAGTTTCAGGGGGTTATGAGCCACCCAGTATTGGTGTTCGGAACTGAACTTGGGAGAACAGTAAAGGCTCTTAACCACTGTGCCATGTCTCTAGCCCTGATAATATGTTTTAAAATATAAGTAAACACTGTCAACAAAAATTTTGTATAACTCCAAACAACTGCAATTAACTTGTCAAGTTTGTGTTTGTATGTGCTGAAAGAGGGAAAGGCAATTATATAAATTAATCTTAAAGATAAATAATCTTGGCACTGAAAAATATTTTCCCTATTAGTCATTATTGTCATAATAAAAATAAGACACAGAGCCAGGCATGGTGGCACATGGCTTTAATCCCAGAAGTTTGGAAGCAGAGACAGGCGGATCTTTGTGAGTTGGAGGCTAGCCTGGTCTACAGTGAGTTCCAGATCAGCGAGGGCTGCACAGTCAGTCCTTGTCTCAAAAACAAAAAATAGGACATGGATGAATTCAGGACTTTTATTAATTTGTAAAAGAATTTGACTATATATATTATATAAACACACGTATATATTGAATACACATTATATATATATGTATAAATTGAAATGTATAAGAGCTATATATACCCACAACAAAAAGTTGACAAAAATAGTTTGTTATTCTATTAAAAGATCACCATATTTTACTTTAAAAAATCATTGGAAATATATCTTGCAGACACTATACACTAGATATTCTGTGACTAAAACAAAAAGACTAAGTTCTTCATCACTATCATTACCAAAACATTCTTAGTGGGGCAGATAATTTTCTGTGTATCTACTACTTTGCAAATACCTGAGTTTCCGGATTTCATTTGGAATATTATGAATTTCATTGTAGGAAACATCAAGTTCCTCAAGATAATACAGGCAAAATAACCTTAAATAGAAAGAATAGTTAGTTGTAGTAATGACAATTCCTTATCACTGGGAATTAAAACATCTAGAAATTAAACATTTTCCTAAGACGCTGAGAGTTACTTTGACTTCTTTTCATTATGGGTAGTATACACTCCATGAACACCTCTAAAAATGATTCCTCTGTCCATGAAGATTGCTTGGAGATATTGGAGTGGGAAAAGCCTCACTAACAAAAGACAGCTAAGAGCCTTTTGTCATCTGAAGGTTTTTCTTGGTTTCCATGTTAGTTTCCTGCCTGACTTCTGGCTAGCCAGAAGCAACAGACCCACAGCCTCCCATGATTCAGGAGCCAGAACTCCAGCATCCAGCTGCGGGAGGAATGAGGTCCTTCTGGAGGCTTCCCTCTCCTAGCTCCCCAGGGTTACCTTCCCTGGCTTATAGCAACCTTTGTCTCTGACTTCACAGGGTCTTCTTCCAAGGACACGGGCTATATAGGGCCCACCCTTATTCAGAATGATCCCATTTAATTTGAAAGAAAAATTCATTTACATATTATAATTTAAAATAAAGTCACATTCTGAGATTTTATGTGGACCTGGGCTTTTGAGGGACTTTGCTCAACCCAACTGTATGAAGACTTTCCTAGTGAAACACCCTTGACTTTTTTGTCCCATCAAGTTAAGTGCCCAAAGTAAGAACTGAAGGATGGAATGGCTCTATAGCACACAACTACGGCACCATGAGTCTGTCTCCTGGGGGATGCAAACAGAAATCATTTCTTAAGGACTGGAGTTGAACGGCTAAGTAGGATACTGATCACTGTCCCTGGTAACCCCCTCTCCATTCTATATGTACTGTTCTCAAAAGCTGCCTCTTCCTACACAAATGACCTGAAATATTACTTGCATGGTCTTTTAGCTAAAGCATTACGAACACAGAATTTTACTAACTTCCCACTATTCCAGCATGGCAGATGGAGATCTTCATGATCCTGCCCTTGATTACTTTCGTAGCTTACCTGTCACTTCCCATCCCATACTTCCCTGTGATGCACCATTTATTTGCTACAAGTATCTAAATCCCATGCAGCATCTGCCCAAACTTGACTCTGGTCTTTGTCTTCTCGTGTTTGAAATCTTAACCCAGATGTTGTCCCTGCACAGTGCGCTTTCCAAATCTTTTCAACTGGAGGAAATGACACTTCTGTGTGTCCGTTCACCTTGCTTGGCCCCTGTCCCATTGTACAACTATGAGGTTCTGGAGACCAGGAATTCCACCTTCTACTTCTATCTATCCAATGTCTCACTGAGTAAATCAGAAATGAATGAACCCCAGTTAATCTAAATTCTTTCTCTGAGAAACTGGTGACATTGATTAGGGAAATGTAAGGTAACCCTTGTCAATTCAGTGGTCAGCCGCAATTTCTTTTTCATCTCTGTAAATAAAATGTTGATGCTATCTGCTCTGTTTTTTCAACTCAAGATCATATTTTGCTTTTTTGCCTCAGGGATTTCCTCTCTGCCTCACTGCCAGTGGATCACAGATCATCTCCTTCAAACTTCCTTCCCCTCACTTATCCCAATATCCCAGCCACCAACTCTAGGTTGCACTCCCTAGGAACCCACAAGCTAGTCTGGTCAGGAAGCAGGTAGGCTGACTACAGATCTTCACTCTCCCTCTGATCCTCCAAATCCAATCTCCCAGTCTCATTCCCATTTCTGTAGAAGATCATCTGTTGTGACCTTTCCTCACTCTCTGATTCCATTCCCAGGGAACTAAGCAAATCCTGGTAGAGTACCCTGCTTTTTTTCCCTTGCTGTGGACCTCCCCAGCCCATCCCCATTTGTAAGTGTCAGCTCCCAATTCCTAGAAACAGATTTTACCTGGAAACCCCAGTGGCCACATCCATCAGGATCCCAGCAGAATTTCCTACCAGGCAACAAACAGCCACCACACTCTCCTAAGAACCAGAGAGGGCAACAGAAACCAAGGGGGGGTGGGAAAGACAAGACCAGGTACCAGCACCTAGAGTTACAATCTTCCCAAGCCCCAAAGTCTAGATGTCAGTATAAAAACACAATTACTAACAGCCAGAACAATCTGTCTCCATCAGGCTCAGCAACCCTACCATAGCAGGCCCCGATTGTTGCAACATATTTTAAGGAAAAGTCCTTAAAATAGCCTCTGAGAAGGAGAATGAATAAATATCTTTTAAAAAAATCTATGAAAACACAAAGGGTAGAAGAAAATGAATAAAACAGGTCAAGATCTGAATGTGAAAACAGAATCAATAAAGAAAACCTAAACTGAGGGAAATGTGGGGATGAAAATTTAGGGAACTCGAACAGGAACCTCAGAGGCAAGCATCACCAACAGAATACAAAAGATGGAAGAGATACTCTCAGGTGTTGAAGACACAATAGAAGAAATGAATACACTGGTCAAAGAAAATATTAAATCTAAAAAACATCCAGGAAATCTGGTACACTATGAAAAGACCAAATCTAAGAATAATAAGAATAGAGGAAGGAGAAGAAACGCCGATCAAAGACCTAGAAAATATTTTCAATAAAATCACAGAAGAAAAATTTCCTAACCTAAATGAGGTACCTGTCAAAGTACATGAAGCATAAAGGATACTGAATACACTGAACCAGAAAATAAAGTTCCCTTGACACATAATAATCAAAACACTTGAACATAGAACAAAGAGAATATTAAAAGCTGCAAGGGAAAAAGACCAAGTAATATGTAAGGGCAGACCTATTAGAAAAACACCTGACTTCTCAATGGAGACTCTAAAAGCCAGAAGGGCTTGGACAGACATGCTACAGACTCTAAGAGACCATAGATGCTAGCCCCAGACTACTATATCCAACAAAACTGTCAATCACAATAGATGGAGAAAGTAGGACATTCCATGATAAAACCAAATTTAAGTAATATCTGTCTACAAATCCTGTCCTACAGAGGGCTAGAAGGTAAACTCCAACCTAAAGAGTTAACCACACTAGACAATCAGCAAACACTGCTCATCAATAGCTCTCAACATCAATGGTCTCAATTCCCCAATGATGTCTGCCTGCAAGATATGTTAGTGCAACAGAGACACAAAGCTTGTAGGAGTAACCAACCAATAACTGATTTGACTTAAGGCCCATTCCAGGAGATGGAACCCATACCCAACACTACTTGGGTGACCAAGAACCTGAGACCAGATGGCCCAGGGACCCAGGGTAAAGACAAATACTACTGTTCTACTAAAAGAACATAGCAATAAAATGACACCCAATGATATTCCTCTCTACTCATAGATCAGTATCTTGCTCAGCCACCATCAGAGAAGCTTCCTCCAGCTGCAGATGAGAACAAATACAGAGATCTACAGCCAGACAATATGCAGAGCATGAGAAACCCCGGAACACTCAGCCCTAAACAGGACATCTCTATCACACTGCTCCCCTCAGGGCTCAGGGAACCCAGCAGAAAAGGAGGGGGAAGAAGGTAAGAGCCACGGGGAATGGAGGATATCAGTGAAACAAGACCTTCTAAATCAACATGAGCGAAGCTCACAGAGACTGACGCACTATGCATGCACAGACGGGGCTGCCCGGGGCTGTACTATGTCTTTTGCATATATTACAGCTTCCAACGTAATGTTTTTATGAGATTCCTGAGTGAGTGAGTGAGTGGGTCTCACAGTTTCTTGTGCATTATCTTGGGCTCTTTCCTTCTCTTTGTTTTGTCCAATTCCAATGTGTTCGTTTTTGTTTTATCTTATTATATTTTATTATTACCCTTTAGAAGCCTGTTTATAATGAGAGATGGAAAGGGAGTGTGTCCAAATGGGAGGGGAGGCGAGGAGGGCTAGGGAGGAGTACAGGGATGGGAAACCGTAATTAGGATACATTACATGAGAAAAAATTCTATTTTCAATAAAAGGGGTGGGGGTGGGGGACCTCCAAAGATCTGGATGTTTTATTTCATTGTAGAAATGTAGATCCAAAGAACAGGCTTTAGAAATAACTGGACGAACTTACAAGACAATTTACAAGATATTTTCCCTTGATTTTCGTAGTGTTCTTGAAATCAAGGGCACTTTGCCTGGCCTTTCCAATAAAAAATGACATCAAGGCTGTGAGTGGCTTGCCAAAATGCTCAGCATCTACGGTACAGAGCTGGCCTTGGGGAGTACTATGCCTTCTCAATGGTGCCACATGGGTCTCATGTAACTTGAAAGATCTAGCTAGGAATGGCAAAATACAGTGAAGGAGCCCCACCATGTTTTTAGAAAAACTTAGTCACCCAAGTAACATTAGTATATAGAAACTGTAGGTAAAAATGTAAACAAGTCATAACAGAAAAGGACAATCTACTTCATTTTTTTGAGACAGGGTCTCATGTAGCCCATGCTGGCCACAAACTCCCTTAGTGGCTCTTGCTCTGACCATTCAGCTTCCTTCTGACTGTGCTTCTCTGTTGTCCTCGACATCCTCCTCCTAGGGAAGGATCTACTCACTGTCTTCCCGGACGCCTTTGGCTGCCTTTGTGTAGACCGAGTGTTCCCTTCACCCGGGTCTCTGTAAGTTCCTCTTAGCTACCTATCAGTGCATGATATGACATTTCGGGATATTTTATTTCTGTGTATGTGCATGTGCATGTGGATGCCATGGGAGGCCAGAAGTGGTTCCCTTTGGTTCCCTGGAGCTGGAGCTGCGGGCGTTTGTGAGCCACCCAACATGGGACATGGCACTGGAAGAGCACTACGTGCTCTTAGGCACTGAGCCATTTCCCCGCCCCTACTCCGACTTTTCAACCCAGACGCTTCTTTTCCTTATGTTTGCTGTGTCTCACCGGCACCAGATGTCGCGGCGTTCACTCCTTTGCCCTAGCTCAGCTTCTCTTCCCCTTACCCTAACTACTCTGACAGTCCCCAGTTGGTCACCTAGAACTCTGTTCTCCCCCTCACATACCCACTCTTCACACTGGCCCCTGTGTGACCTAAAAGAGAGTTTGGCTCCACCACTGTCCCGCAGAAAGCCCCACGATGGCCAGTCACTGTGTGAAGTATTCATTCCTCACCTCACCCCACAAAGACCCATTTATCACTCCAGGCTCGTTTCTCAACAGTTGGCTCTACCCCATAGGCTCCAAAATTTAGCAAACACTTTGTGTTTCCTAACCTACATTATATATGATGCTTTGGAACTCTGTTCATTCAAGACACATCTATCCCATTCATGGAACGACCATCCTTTGCTTGACCCCTGAGATGGAGCCAACTCAAAAGCTGCAATGGGTTAGGTCTCCTCTCTTCCAGGGAGTGACTCTGAACCTGCAGCATGGGTTACATGTTATCCTTTCCTGTCCACAAAGCTTACAATGGACATCTCCACAATTTTATGTTGCTTATATTCACTTGTCTGTCTTCCCGACAGGCCTGGAGCCCCAGCAGTGCATAGTGGATGTATATTAACATCTGCCAAAGCACAAGATTTAAAGTGTAATGTCCACCAGCCGCACATCTGTGTGACCACTGCAGACAATAACAACCAAAGCAGGGAATGTATCTGGAGGCAGAACCAACTCAAGCATGTTCTAGGCTTGTTTGGGTCACTGCATTTTACTTGGTTGCAGGTAATGCTTCCTCAGCCTGCCACAATGCATCACGACTCTTTGGCTAGGCAAGTGAGAGGTCTGACAAGTCTTTCCTAAGGGGTTCAGCCGTGACTTTTGCGGCGTCATCTCTCCAGGTGAGTTTTTCACTTAACAAACATTTCCGTTTATGTCGGAGACTGCTCTGTATTTTCTTTGATATCAACAAGATTGTCCTTCTATGTTTTTCATTTGGAGTGCAATATGCTGTCGATCTCTTTGATAGACATGAACATCCAATTATATTTAATAAAAATATAGCACTTTGTTTTAGAAATACTTAGTATGTTTAAAGCACCTGGAGCATTTTATTGTAACCAAGAGTTTATGTAATTTGGCCAATGTATAACAATGAAAAAAGCTGACTCTTTAATGACAATCAAATTTTAGTTCCTTTAGGGAATGTCACATTTTCAGTAACAGAACTATTTAAAGTATGTAATTATGATTACAGATTATCTGTTACGAATTCTTATTTAGGTGCTGTACATGCACATGAATGTGTACAGTTATATGTATATACCTAGCTATGTGTATTCACACTTACATACACACACACAGGAACACATGTACACACCCTTAACTTACTACATTTAGTTTGCTAAACTCTTTTTTTTTTTTTTGGTTTTTCGAGACAGGGTTTCTCTGTGTAGCTTTGTGCCTTTCCTGGAACTCGCTTTGGAGACCAGGCTGGCCTCGAACTCACAGAGATCCGCCTGGCTCTGCCTCCCGAGTGCTGGGATTAAAGGCGTGCGCCACCACCGCCCGGCTAGTTTGCTAAACTCTTAATTGGAAGAAGTATCTTATTTTGGTATTTTGGTTGAAGTTTTAGTTTAAAATTTTCCTTAGGAGTTAAACTGTAGCTCATATGTGAGAGGTCCAGCTTTCTATACTCATATGTCAGAATTTTTTTTTCTTTTTTTTTTTTTGGTTTTTTGAGACAGGGTTTCTCAGTGTAGCTTTTGGAGCCTGTCCTGGAACTTGCTCTGTAGCCCAGGCTGGTCTCAAACTCACAGAGATCTGCCTGGTTCTGCTTCCCGAGTGCTGGGATTAAAGGCGTGCACCACCCCAACCTGGCAAATGTCAGCATTCTTATTAGAATGGAAAGGCTCTTAGCCATCATACAGGCCAATCTCCATAGGTTACAGACTAGAACTGAGGTCCATAACAGTCAAACTACTTTCTACAGATCCCCAGGTCATCATCCTCAGCTTTTATACCAAAAATCTTAAGCTCCTAATTCTGAGTGCAGTGCTTTCCATATCCAAAGCACTGTCAACAGGTAGGCAGAGGGGTCTCACCTGGACTGCTGGTCTTTAGATGTGTATTCATTAGAGCTATACTAAGTGCCCTGTGGAACTGGGAGGATTCTTTTTAATACCATACTAAGAAGTGAATCTGCTATTTGTAACAGAATGAGAATGTTTAATCAAAATGCTTCTAGCTACTTTCAAAAAGGAAACTGAGACTTTACTAAATAATTTATAACTAAATAAAATAAAATACAAACAATTTCCTTCTGTGTGCACCTCAGACGATCAACCTTACCCCAAAGGAAGTTCTCTAATAAGATTAAAGGCAATGGAGAAAATCCTAAGTAATTTCAATTGTTGGATTTCAGAAGGAATTTCTCTGATAGGATTATTTCTCAGTTTCAGTACTTGTAGATTTTTAAGACAAAATATCTAGGGAATAGAAAAGAAAAACAAACGTTAATTGAATGAAAAGTTTACAAACTCTCATGTGTGTATTTCATAAATGTTTTAAACCAATACAGTAAGATCAGTATAGAAAAGCATGTTGGCTCATGTGTGTCTCAGTAAACACTCCTAGAAAAAAGAGCAAAGCAGGGTAACACTGGGTGATGAGTGAGTGGAGTCAGGACACCTAAGTCATGAAGAGGCGATAAAGCTCTGTTTTTCTAATTTCAACTGCCATCATTGTTCCTTTTAAATAATGGTTTTTATTAATTCTTTGAGAATTTTGTACAATGATTTTTTTTTTTTTTTTTTTTTTGGAGCTGAGGATCGAACTCAGGGCCTTGAGGGAAAGGCAATTCTCATTAATGGTGTGGCCCCTGGTAGGTCAATCACACTCCACAGAGTCTTCATACCTCAGAATAGTTGTCTGACATAAACTGGACTCGGTGGTTAGGGTCTGGGGGTTGGGGGTCATGTGCTTATGAAATTGCACAGGTAGGGATGTGGGAGTGGGTGGGATCTGAGAGGAGTTGGAGAAGGAAGGTGAACGTGATAAAAATTCATTGTACAGGGGTTGGGGATTTAGCTCAGTGTCCTCTCCTGGCCTCAATGGATACCCACACGCATGTTCACATGCACACACAGACACAAGACACATGAACACACACTGTTGTGTGACAAGACTTTTCCTGGAGAGATACAACACACACATCCCGAGAGGGAGCCTACAACAGACCCAAGTCTGGATACCACGGAAGTCCAGTGAGTTATATCGGGGGTCACTTACAGGAGTGGAAATGACTCAGAGACAGATGTATCACCAATGCCCACCCCAGCACAGGTGACAGCTCACAAAGTTGGGAACCTGACACACACTGTACAACCTGTTGGCAGCTCAACAGGTTGGAGAGTGTCCTTTCTAAGTGACTCAGTTGGTCTAAACCTCTTCTGGCAGCTCAGCCAGCCTCTGCTTCTTCTAGGCAGCTGGGCTAGCTCAGAGCCTTCTTTTCAGTTTTGTTCCACTGATGGTGACTCTCAGCATTCTTTGTTGTTTATTCTTGGGGGAGGCGGGTAGTGAGGTATTGAATCTAGTTAGTTTCAGAGACTTCCTGAAGCTATTTTGAGTTTGCTTTGTTTGTTTCTGGTTTAAGAGCTTCCCTGCAGGATGGAGTGTTTCAATCTGAGAAAAGTCCTAAATTTTTATTAACTCATATTTTCATATAAGACCATCAGGCAAAGATGAGGGAGAGAGGAAATATCTCCAGGATTCACCTTAGTCGAGTGTCACACTCAGGTTACTTCACTACAATCTCTTAAAAATTTCATGCCCATCAATTTTTTTATATGAAAATGTAAAACTGAATTAATCTGTAGATTAATTTGAAACTATTATCATTTAAAAAATATCAAACCTTCAGACCAGTGAATCTGGGATGTTTGTCCATCTATACACGTCTTATTTAATTTTTTTTCCTACTGAAATTTCAGTGTAGGTATGGTGCTTTGGTTGAAACTATTCCTAAATATTTCATTCTTATTCACGTGATTTTAAATGAAACTGCTTTCTCAATTTTCTTATCAAGATTGTATATTGATGGCATATTAAAATGCAATTGACTTTTCTGTATTAACTTTATACATTGCAACCTTTCAGAAAATACTTACACACTATGATTGTATTTTACTGTGTGTCTTATTATACCTCATATCACCTGAAACTGGAGATGGCTTTCATTCCCCCTCTTCTTCAAAACTGTCTCATATAATTTCAATTCTACCAGGGATCCCCAATGGCCAAACTAGACTGGGAATCATGAAGACGATTTTCATTACCCTTCCTGTCCTCCAATAAGATCCCTCTAGTCTTCCTCTAAGACTCTGTAGTATTTTATTGAGATAAAATGTTTACACATCTTTTGGGGGTAAATGGTTGTCAAACTGTAGACATAGTCAACCATATCTTTTCTTTTTGATCGGGGTAGAATTTAGTGCTTTGCCAATTGTCTTGGTTAGACAGTCCAGTGCAAAGTTGATCAGAAGTAGCCAAAATGTCCATCTCCATCTGTTCCTGATCTGAGCAGGCAAATGTCCAGTCTTCCATCCTCAAGTACACTAGCTGTGAGGGTTTTGGTGGGAAGTCTCCGCTATTCCTCCATATTGAGTGGATTTTCTTGGAGAGGGTAGGAAAGCATGCTGTGTTTTGCCAGCTGTGTTCTAGTGTATCTATTGAGATAACTGTGCTTTTCCTCTTTCGTCTTTTCATCTTACATAGGTCTTTCTATGTTGAGCCATCTATACATTCCTGAGATAAATCTTACTTGGTTGTGGTGTGAAACTGCCTTTGTGTGTTGTTGGTTGAAAGCACTGGCTGAGGATGTTGACATATAAAGTCATGATGACACTCTATAGTTACTTTTCTTGTCGTGGCTGATGTTTGCTATTAGGAAATTATTGGTTTAATGGTTTGAAATGGGAAATGCTTTCTCCTATTTGTTGGGTTTGTGAAAGACTGGTTTAATTCTTCAGCATTAATTTGATATAATTCACCCATGAAATCATCTAGACTGAAACATTTCTTTGTGGGAAGTTTAAAATTATTGTTAAATCTTGTTATAAATCATTCATATTTTCCAGTTTTAGTCTGCTTATATGTGTTTATAGAAATATATTCATTTCATATAAGTTGTTAAATTGGTTGGAATAGTTATTTAAAAATCTAAACTATTGCCAGGTAGTGGTGGCGCACATCTGTAATCTCAGCAATCAGGAAGCAGAGGCAGGTGGATCTCTATGAGTTCAAGGTCAGCCTGGTCTACAGAGCTAGTCCAGGACAGGCTCCAAAGCTACAGAGAAACCCTGACTCAAAAAACCAAAAAAAAAAAAAAAAAAAAATCTAAACTATTTCTTGGTATTTCTGTAAAATCAATAGTGACCTTTCACTCTTGATTTTGGGAGCTTGAAACTTCTGTATTTGGCGGGGGGGGGGGGGGGGGGTCTTTCTATAGAATCCTTGTCAATTTTGTTGATCTTTTCAAAGTACTAACTCTTGCAATTTTTCGCTTTATATCTATTGATTTCCTGTTCTATAATTCCTATACTAATTTTTATTATTCCCTTCCTTATTCTTTTTAAGGTTTAGTTCACTTTTTTTAATGCCTTAAGTTGGAAGGTTATTTTGTTGCTATGAGATACTTCTTTCTTTTCTTTCTTTTTTTTTTTTTTTTTTGATTTGTTTTCTTGTTTGTTTGTTTTTTGCTCTGTGCACCACTGGCTATCCTAGAACTCACTCTGTAGACCAAACTAGCTTCAAACTCACAGAAATCCACCTGATTCTGCCTCCCAAGTGCTGGGATCAAAGGTGTGCACCACCACCACCAGGCGAGATACTTGTTTCTTTTTTTTCTTTTTTTTTTTTTTTTTTGGTTTTTCGAGACAGGGTTTCTCTGTGTAGCTTTGCGCCTTTCCTGGATCTCGCTCTGTAGACCAGGCTGGCCTCGAACTCACAGAGATCCGCCTGGCTCTGCCTCCCGAGTGCTGGGATTAAAGGCGTGCGCCACCACCGTCCGGCTGAGATACTTGTTTCTTAAAACAGGCACTTACAGCTGTGTGTTTTCCCCTGAGCACTGTTCTAGATGCATCAAATAAAGGTTGACTCCCTGTTTTCACTGTCATTCATCTTCAAAATTCTCTAATTTCCCCTTTGATTCTTCCTTGACTCCTTGATTAAGAATTAGTTGCTTTGATTCTCTGGGGACTCATGGCAGGGACCCAACTTAACTCTTTCCCACCGACCCTCTCAGCCTTCCTTTCTAACCCATCTCTATCCCTTTTGTCAATGCCAATCCCCAGAAACTCTTTCTACCAGGGATCCCCAATGGCCAAACTAGACTGGGAATCATGAAGACAATTTCCGTCACCGTTCCTGTCCTCCAGTAAGATCCGTCCAGTCTTCCTCTGAGTCCTGTAATAGCCTGCTGGCAGGATCCCCTCCACCCCCTATCTTCATTCCCTGGGGACTCTGCCTCTTGGTGAAAACCTAAGGTCTCCCTAGCTCTTCCCCAAAGCTCCTCTCAGCATTACTTCTTAGTCTGTCTCCATTCTCTTCTGATACACACTGACCCACAAAGGCACTCCCTACCAGGGAACCCACAACTACCACACTTGCCTATTATCCACAGATGGGAACAGCAACCCAAGAACAGAACACTCACCCAACAAAGACAAGATCAGATATCAACACCAAAAAATACCTCAAGTACAACTCCAGATGCCTAGTCCCTGATGTAAAAGCACAAACTTTAACAGCCAAGAAAATACGCCTTCACCAGAAGCCACAGCCAATATCAACCTAAATTGAGACAAACACAATGCATTTCCACTAAATCAGAAATAAGACAAGGTTAGCCACTCTCTCCATATCTACTCAATGTAGTACTTGAAGTCTCTTAGCTTGAACAATAAGACAACTGAAGGACATCAAGGAATACAAATAGGAAAGTAAGGGGTCAAATATCTTTATTTGCAGATGATATGGTTTTATGCATAAAAGACCCTAAGAACTCTACCAAGAAACTTCTACACCTGATAAACACTTCCAGTAAAGCAACAAGATACAAAATTAACACACAAAAATCAGTAGCTTTTCTACATACACATGACAAACTGAGAAAGAAATCAGGAAATTAGTACCTTTCAAAATAGCCTCAAAAAATATCCTGGGATAACTCTAACCAAGCAAGTAAAAGATTTGTATGATAAAAACTTTTAAGATGTTGAAGAAAGAAATTAAACAAGACTACAGAAGATGGAAAGATCTTCCAATGCTCACGGATTGGTGGATTAATTAATTAATTAATTAGATTAATATCATGAAGACGGCCATCCTACTGAAGGCAATATATACAGATTCAATTCAATCCCCATCAAAATTCCAACACCATTCTTCAGAGAAATTGAAAACAAATCCTCAGCTTCATAGGGAAACACAAAAAACCCAGGACAGTAAAACAATTCTGAATAATAAAAGAACTGTTGGAGGAATCACCATCCCAGATTTCAAGTTGTACTACAGAGCTATACTAATGAAAATATCATGGTGATGGCATAAAAACAGACACACTGACCAATGGAATTGAGTTGAATATCCTGACATGAGCCTACACACCTATGGCCACCTGATTTTTGACAAAGAAACAATAAGAACACACTGGAGAAAAAGCAGCATCTTTAACAAATAAAGCTGGTCAAACTGAATGGCTGCAAACAGATCCATGTCCGTCACTCTGCACAAAACCCAACTCCAAATGGATCAAGGACTACAACATAAGACCAGATACCCTAAGTCTGATGGAAGAGAAAGAAGGGAATAGACTCGAACTCATTGGCACAGTATAGGACTTTCTGAACTGGACACTGATAGAATAGTACTAAGACCAAAAATTAATAAATGGGACTTCATGAAGCTGAGTAGCTTCTATATGGCAAAGGATACCACCATTGGGACAAAGCAGAAACTAAAGAATAGGAAAAGTTCTTCATCAATTATGCATATGATAGTAGTAGATACAATATATAAAGAACTAAAAAAAGTGAACAACAAAAAAACAAATAACCCAATTTAAAAATAGGATGCAGAACTAAACAGAGAGTACTTAGATGAAACACAAATGGCTCAGAAACACTTAAAGAAATGTCCAATAACCTGAAACCCATTAGGGAAATGCAAGATAAAACTACTTTGAGATTTCATCTTACACCAGTCAGAATGGCCAAGATTAAAAAAATGACAGCTCGCCGGGCGGTGGTGGCGCACGCCTTTAATCCCAGCACTCGGGAGGCAGAGCCAGGCAGATCTCTGTGAGTTCGAGGCCAGCCTGGGCTACCAAGTGAGTTCCAGGAAAAAGGCGCAAAGAGCTACACAGAGAAACCCTGTCTCGAAAAACCAAAAAAAAAAAAAAAAAAAAAAAAAAAATGACAGCTCACGTGGAATACGGCAAACACTCCTCCATTGCTAGTGGGAGTACAAACTTGTACAGCCACTATGGAGATCAGTGTGGTGGTTCCTCAGGAAGCTGGGAATAGAGCTACCTCAAGATCCAGCCACACTACTCCTGGACATACACCCCAAAGATTCTGCATCTTAGTATATTTGTTCATCCATGTTCATTGCTGCTCTATTCATAATAGCCATATACTGGGAAAAGCCTAGATGTCCATCAGCTGATGAATGAATAATGAAAACAGGGCACATTCACACAATGGAATATTATTTGGCTGTTAAGAAAAATGAAATTATGGAATCTGCAGGTAAAATGGACAGAGTTAGAAAAAAATCATCCAGAGCCAAAAAGACAAATATTGTTATGTTTTCTTTTATATATAAATATTAGTTTTGAGTCTTTGATATGAATGTTACAATTCAAATAACCCCAGAGGTGAAGTACATATTAAGGGACTAGCAGGGAGGAGGGAATATGCCATGGAAAGGAAAACAGAAGAGAGTATGGAGAGACAAAGGGGAAACCAGGATAGAAGGACTAAATATTGAGGGGATGGAAGAGAAGTGTAATGGAGGGAATATGGGGAGGGACAACTAGCACTAAAGATCATTTGAAAAACCACATGGAAACTTATTACTGTAGAAGCTTCCTAAAATATATGCATACATAGAAGGACTCTAAGTGAACTCATCAAATAAATGGGGGAGCCCCAACTAAAACTAATGCCCAACTAAAACTTTCAGTGTCAGGATTAGGTGACATCTTTTTGAATCACTGGCAAATGGGATCTTATAGATTACTCCCCCCACCCCCAAATCACAGTTATGGCCAAGGGCATTAGTTACTTTCCACAACCTAATGGCACTATTGTTGAAGACAATACTTACTTGTTTCATGGATCTTGGAGAAGTCAAGCTGATGCCTAACTAGAAGCTTCACTCCTACTGACTAGGATTCATGGTGCTGGAAGGTACTATGCATGCTACCAGAGGAGAAAAGTGACCATCAACCCAGCTACAAACACTGTGACCTACAACAGTGACCTATCTGAAAGACATACTGGTGTAATAGTGGCATAAATGGTATGGGAGTAAACAACCACTCTCTGCTTGGATTTACGGTCCACTTCTAAAATTGAACCCATACCTGACACTGATAAACTGACCAAGAACCTGACAGGCTATGGACCTAGAGAAAACCAAATACTACTATTCTATTTAAGGAACATAGCAATAAAATGACTCATGATGACGTTCTGCTGTAGCCATAAATCAGTGCCTCCCTCAGCCACCAAAAAAGAAATTTCTTCTTGCAATAGATGGGAACTAACACAGAGACCCAAAATTATGCAATGTGAGTGAGAGACTTTGGAGCACTAAGTCCTAAATGGGATGTCTTCATGAAACCCTACCCCTCAGATCTCAGGGATCTATGCAGAAGAGGAGATAGAAAGATTGTAAGACCCAGAGATGCTGGATGACTCCAAGGACGCAGTATCTTCCAGACACGGCAGGACTGATGCACATATGAACTCACAGAAACTGGCTGCATGCAGAAGACCTGCACAGGTTCTAGCCAGACAGGGTCCCAGCACCAAGATGGGAAAGTGAACACAGGCTTCCACCCTTAACCAAGAAGCTATCTGCAACTGATACCTGCTGGCAAAGGAAAAAATAGTTTTCTCCAAGGGAATTTCACTAGGTATATTAACCACACTTCAGGGTATGCCTCATGCCTAAAAGTACTTGGCCAACATAAAACAAACTCAATGGTATTTTTATAGACTTTTTTGTCTCATTTTTCTTTGGGCATTTTTTTGTCTTATTGGTCCTTTGCTTGTATGTTTGGGTTTCCATTTTGTGGGGTGTGTGTGTGTGTGTGTGTGTGTGTGTGTGTGTGTGTGTGTGTTTCACTTTTTAAAGACAGAGAGAAGTAACTTGCACTGCCTATATGGTCATGGTTATGAGGCCATGCACTGGAATGGGTTGACCTACCAGAGGCCATACACTTAGAAAAGCATACTTGCCCCTCTCCCAGCAGTCATCAACTCTCAGACTGGAGTGGGGACTCCTGAGCCCCTCCCCAGTCCACACTAGAATGCTGACTGGCTTGATCTTGTACATTCTTGTGCAGGCAACTACAGCTGCGGAGAGTTCATGAGATGATCCTGCCATGTGCAGACAAAACTTAGTCCACCCAGACTAACTTGGTTTTTTAATTTTTTGATTAGCACACACACAAGTTCATTTTAAATGTTATTAAAAGAAGAATAAATTATTTTTTATGCAACTTACAACCATGAGAACATATTTGAGACATAAAGCATTTGGGGCTTATGTCACTGAATTTCCAAAGAAAAATGTGCTACACTTTCTTCACTTCTAATAAGTAAGGTCTTTTTAGATGCAGTCCAACATGAATTTGTTTCATAATATCTTCAGGATATCATAAGATGTCTACTTTTATTTACAATAGTAAATTATAGCAATATAGATAAGAAAAAAGTGGACTCACTTCCACAGGAAATTTGCTGAGGTCATTAAATGATAAATTAAGGTATATCAATTGAAAAGTCAGAGGTGTTAAGTCTGGACAGTACAGAAGAAAGAATCCCTAAAGGAGAGTAACAAAAAACAAAATATTATTAACAGTAAATTTTCTCTATGTGGAACAGTTTAATTTCCTAATAGTAATGCTACAAGATGCACTGTCAAAACTTTTCTGATCTCTTAAGAGGAAAATTACAACTCTATTTAGTTTTAAATCATACTGTTCTTTGTGTGTATGTGTGATGGATATGTGTGTGCATGTGTGAGTATAGGCACGTGTTCTACAGGGCACATGTGGCAGTCTAAGGACAACCTTGAGTATGAATCTTTGCTTTCCACCTTGAAACAGGGTCTACTTGTCCTACATTGCACACACAAGGCTATCTGGCCATGAGCTTCTGAAAATTCTCTTCTTCCCAGGATCACATGGCCCATACTCATGCTAACATGCTCAGCTTTAGGAAGGTGGTAGGGATTCGAACTCAGGTCTCTAGGCTTGAATGCAGGTGCTTTATCCACTAAGCCATCGCCTCAGCCTGCATTATTTTTATTTTATGAGATGATGAGCATATTTTCGTTTTTCTATGGGTAATCTGTTTCAATGAACTACTTCCATAGTTTCTTTTCTTATGCATAGAAACACAGTCTATGATTTTGTTGATCTTATTGACTGGAATTTTGCTGAACTTATTTATTAGCTCTAGGACCTTTGTCAATGATGATTATAATTCGAAAAGTCAGAGCCTCAAACAATGAGGTCCAGAAGTTCACATGACAATCCTAAAATATTAACATCCTGTTGAAATCCTGAGACTCGAAATCCTCAAAACTTAATTCTCATTGGAGGAAAAAGAAAAAGCTGCTAACAGAGACGGAAATCCAAGCTCTTGGGAGGGTGGGCGATTGATGTATGTATGTATGTGAATGCTCTAGACTGGAGTGTTGCTAACTTACTCAATTATGTACCACTTCTGCCTTTTTATACACAGCACCATGCTTGTTCAAGACATGCTCTTCAGCTGAGAATAAAAAGAACTTGATAAGCTCATGGAATTCCAAAACCAGGATGCTTTGCTGATGAAATGTCCTTCCAGGGCTACATAATGCATTACATGGCCAACTAGAGTGATTTCTGAGTAGGAAGGTAACTGTTGAGGTGATAAAAATTAACTCATTTACTAACATGAAAAACATGCATACTTCACTCTGGCTAACACTTTTACAACTCATTAACATTCTCCCTCCCTCTCCTCCCCTCTCCCTTTTTCCTTCTTTAAAAAATATAGATTTTCGAGGCCAAAGAGTTCTGGGCAACTGGGTATGTAGCTTGTTTTGGTCGAATGCTTGCTCAGCATGCATGGAGCCCTGGATTCCATTCCCAGCACCATGTAAGTGGAGCATGGTGGAACACACTTATAATCCCAGCACTCAGGAGGTGGAGGCATAAGGATAAGAAGTCATCCTCAGTTCCACGGTCAGTGCAGGAGATCCTGTCTCAGACAAGCAAACAGCTCTGGGTACAAACAGGACTCTGCTTACTCACTGTGAGATCTTGTGCAAGCTACTTTCCTGCAGCCTCCATGTTGGCATCTATGAAATGAAGATTCTAATGCCTACTTTGCAGAACATTAGTTGTAGGAGGAGCACAGGCTTGGAACACAGTGCTACAATCAATGCTACTGTGATTCATTTGCTGGGCAGCGCAAGTGTTCAGTGCAAACCAGCCTCACGCGAGACTTGACACAAGGTCTATAGCTTCTGGCAACTTAAAAACATGAACAATCTCAATCCTACTTATTAGGCTAAATGATGAAGAAATAAAAAGAGTATAATTTCTTTGGCTCTCAGCATCCTTTTCAACTTTATTGGTGAACCGAAGACAAACTCGGACAGGTAAATTTAGAGGTATAATTCGCATGTGTTCCTGAGAAATCTCAGCTGTAATTGAGAAGACTCCTTCAATCGAATAGAAACTAACCTATATTGGGAAACTGAAGATACAAACAATTGATAACACCAGAGGACATTACTATTAAAGAGATCTAGCATACCTTAAGACTAAGTGCGTTTCTTCCATATATCTGGCAATTTATTATGGCCAGGGTGGTCATCGCCATTATTGTGTCATAGCGTGTTGCTGCGATAGTCTTAAAGCCTTCCCCTCGTAAAACATAGGCATCTGTGTCTAGTTTTCTCATGGTTCCAATGAAAGCTAATTAAAACAAATCAAAACATAAAACTTCAGTGTATTAGGACTTCGTATGATGGTTAAGCAATATGAGGAGCGCTCTCACAAGAATGAGTTATCAAAAGAATTAGCTATCCAGATCTTCCAGAATCAATTCCTCAGATCCTTCATTCACCCAGACTGTACTTGCTCTGAATCCATCAAAGTAAAAGTTAATCAAAAATTTGAGCCGGGCGGTGGTGGCGCACGCCTTTAATCCCAGCACTCGGGAGGCAGAGCCAGGCGGATCTCTGTGAGTGGATCTCTGTGAGTTCGAGGCCAGCCTGGTCTCCAAAGCGAGTTCCAGGAAAGGCGCAAAGCTACACAGAGAAACCCTGTCTCGAAAAACAAAAAACAAAAAAAAAAAAAATTTGAGAAACGTGTACAAGGCAATGCAGTGAAATCTGGTCATTGGAGGAGGGACAGAGTGAGGTGTGGCAGGAGGGTGAGTTAAGACACAGGGCTGCAGCTTCATTCCTGCTCACCCACCCTGCTCACCCATAAGCTTCTCTAGGTTTGAGGATTGGGGCCATCTGAGTCATGCCTGCACAGGTTACTTTCCAATGCCTTTGGCAGCTGTTTTATGCACCTTTTGGTAGATTTAGCTGTAGAGGTTACTGAACCAAGAACCAAACCCAACTCCGCCCTTCCTCTTTCCAGAATTCTCCTAGTCAGCTCACCCTGCCTATACTTTCTGCCTGACTACTGTCCAATCAGCATTTTATTAAACCAGTTCAAGTAACAAATCTTTACAGCGTACAAGAGCATCATCCCACAGCAGGTCACTTGATAACGGACAGAACCAGAACTCTTTATTTAAAATCTGTTGGGTAGCCGGGCGGTGGTGGCGCACGCCTTTAATCCCAGCACTCGGGAGGCAGAGCCAGGCGGATCTCTGTGAGTTCGAGGCCAGCCTGGGCTACCAAGTGAGTTCCAGGAAAGGCACAAAGTTACACAGAGAAACCTTGTCTCGAAAAACCAAAAAAAAAAAAAAAAAAATCTGTTGGGTAACTCTAACACTGTTTCTGCTACTTTTCATTCATTTTGTTTTTGCATGCTTGATAATGATAAATTATTTGCCACATACTATGTCCATCAGATTGTAGGTGGACATATATGTAAGGTCCAAAATAAGGTAATATTTTAGATAGTGTCTTATAGCCCAGCCTGGCATGGAGCTCACTATGTAGCCCAGGCTGGCACTGAACTTTCAATCTTCCTGCCTCCACCTAACTAAGTGATGAGATGACGGATGTCTGCCACCACCTCTGGCAGTAGAATAATGTAATCTTTCCTTAAATGGGTTTCATGTGTTTCTGCTAGATGACTAAAGTCTAGGCACTCAGAAGGGGGTCTGGTATGCAGTGAGAGTTAACTCTTATAACTGTATGTTAACAACCCTGTCTCGATTAGGAACACATCAGGTTCCATATTCTCAACATCCGTACAATATCTGGTCCATTGTCAAAAAAGCAAGTGCTGAATAAGTGGCCGAAGGAACTGGAAATGAGGTAGGACAGACATGTGTGCATTACACACCTACACAAACACTTGTATCAAGAGAAAATAATCTTATAATTTCTAAAAGGATGGTATAAACCCAGCATTTACCATTTTCAGGTGGTTTGGGAGCTTCTACCTTTCCACACTCTGCAGCATTTTCTAGATAAAAAGAGGGGTGGGGTGAGAAGGACAATTTTAGGTATCTTTGAGGGTGGTTTCATTATAATCATTCACCACTTAATGGACTGGGATGCACCTACCAGCACTTCCTGTCTTCCTGAAGGAGTTCAGGAATCATCTAGGCCACCCCCTAAATTACAGTATATTCTCACATGATGACTTCTAGCCCCACCTAAGGCACTACAAGCACCTTCTCACTGATCCCTTTCTACAGTTTCTGAGCTTCCTGATGAGCTCTCGCTAATACTAGCTGGATCCAGTAGCCAGCTTGGCACCATATAAGGTGAGGACGTCTGTTGTTGCTTCTAAGCCGAGGAATTAATGTCAATTTAAAAGGTGGTTCCTTCTTTCTACCCTGAAGACCCAGAGGGGAGGGAGCCATCCATCTCCTTGAATTTCTCTTCCCTTTGTTCTGATGACAGACACCACTATGGCAGGCCATGTTTCAGTTTTATTTACCTATTGCAATCTGTCTTGGAGGTCTTCTTGGTAACACGGGTGACGGCAGCGTGTGGAATGCCGGGAGGGCAGTAATTTTCAGTACCACTTTTTTTAACGTTGCAGTGCGGTGTGGTGGTCGTTCAGACCACTGTGGTTCAGGTACTGTAGATGAAACGCTGGGTATAGGGCTGAGCAGTGTTTCGGTTACATCTCCCAGAAGAGGAAGTTCTTGAGTATAGTCTGGAGTCTTTGGTACAGGGCGAGAATCAATACTTGTTCTCTTAGCTTTACTAGTTATAAGCCTAGAGTAAGAATCGGGTACAGGCTTGGTAAACTGGGTGGAAAGAACTAAAAGGTTGTTAAATGATTTATCCGCAAAAAATGATTCTCTTTTGTCCTTTTTCTTGGACTTCCTTTTGGCCCTTTTCATTTTGCGTAATTTTTTCCTAAAAACTCGAGAAGATGCCGACAGACAACTTGGAATGAACATGGAACCAACAGCACTCCGTGGAATCTTCCAGCTGCGTGGATATGGTAAAATGTTAACCGCTCTTTCCAGCGCCTTATATTCATGATCCAGACAGAGGCTCTGAATACTGATAGGTCTTTGTGCTTGAGGAACACCTTCATCGCTTTTTACTAAAGTGCTTTCATCCTGAGGGAGTTTTACAGGGGGCTGCTCAGTCTCACTAGTGGTAGCTAAACAAGAGAAGGGGGAGGGGAAAGTAAAATTAGCCCATAGGTATCAAGCTGTCCACACAAAGCTGCTGAAGGCTGAGCATCTGTCTTTCACTGCGTACCTCACTCACCTTCAAAACACAGACCTGTTTAGCTACCGAGACTTCCGTCAAGCTGATGGGGATACATTTTTTGAGCAAACAACTGTGAAGTAAAACAGCGAAAGGACTTACAAAGGATGGAAAGCAGTTCTTGGAAGAACACAAGCCGTGAAGAAAGGTACAAGACATAAAGAGAGATTTGGGGCAGTTGTCACTCAAACTCTGGTAATATAAATGGAGAAATTGATAAGTGATTTTTGATGAAATGGTTCTTTCATCATTAGCTTTCCCCGTCTGGAATTTTTTTTTTTTTTTTTTTGGTTTTTCGAGACAGGGTTTCTCTGTGTAGCTTTGCGCCTTTCCTGGAACTCACTTGGTAGTCCAGGCTGGCCTCGAACTCACAGAGATCCGCCTGGCTCTGCCTCCCGAGTGCTGGGATTAAAGGCGTGCGCCAACAACCGCCCGGCCCGTCTGGAATTTTTTAAGTAAGGATCAATAGTTCTTTTTAATGCCAAGTAAAAATATAAAAGCAATCTTTCAGACATAGGGACAAGCTGATATTGACTAGAAGATGTTTCATGTTTATCTTTCCACTAAGAACTCTTCTCTCTTAGGTCCAGAAACCCATGGATCTCGAATTCCTGGGCATCTCATTCCATCAGATATACCTCTACTTTCCTATGGGACAGAATGTCAAGTGTCATTTATTTGTTGTCTCAACTGATGCAATAAATGGTGATTAACATTACATTCTAGTGAGGAGGGAATAGATTCATTATGGCAGAACTTCAGTAGGAAAGTACGTAAGTTCTCTCTCTGGCATCTCAACTGTCTGTTCTATGTATGTGAGAACATATCTGGTTCAGAGAGAGAAACTGTGGATAACGCGACTGCATCTTGTTCCCTTAATCTCCCTCTCCTTTTGGTGGCTGGAGAAGGGCATGAAATTTCCCATTTCAAATCAACTGGGTGTGTGTGTGGGGGGGGACTTGTGGAGAAGTCCTAGAAGTGTCTGCTGAAGGGGAAACTAATATCCTAACACTTAAGGACCTCCTCTGCTGATAGAGAACAGCAAAAATGTACCAGCATCCTTAATTGTATCACTTCACTATGATCTTAGCTTTTCTAAAGGACTATATTCCTACTTATCCAGTGCTTATAGAGCAGGCTGTAAATATAGGAACACAAGGCATTACAGAAACACAGGAAGGATGGTGTGGAAACGACACAACAATGGTTGTGTGGGATTTGGAGGTAATGGATATGTTGCTTTTCACATCTTCAATAGGCACCAATCAAAAATATAATAAATTTAACACTATAAAGCTCACAATATAAATGTTGGCATCAAAATAATACAGTCAATGAAGTCAAATGGTAGAGGAGATTCAGGAGGGAAAGACGAAGAAATATTGCTTATGATAAATACAATAGTTAATACAGAAATACACAGAAATATAGGAGTAGTATGATTATAAAGTTACATTATAAAAACAGCTTATCTTTAACTTTTAAAAAATGTATATGAGGGTTTTGCCTATATGATGTGCATGCCTCATGCCTGCAGGGACCGAAACAGAGCATGGGAACTGTGAGCCACCATGTGGGTGCTGGGAATAGAACCCTAATCCTCTGGGAAGAGCAGCCAGTGCTCTTAACCATCTCTCCACTGCTGTGGAATATTATTTTAACATGTGTTACACTTGTTTATGCTATGTAACATTTGTTGTAATGATACAAGGATGTGTTGCATTCTTTTATGATTTGTTTAACTCTTGTGAAGCTGTGTTACTGTGCCTGTCTAAAACACCTGACTGATCTAATAAAGAGCTGAACAGCCAATAGCAAGGCAGGAGAAAGGATAGATGGGACTGGCAGACAGAGAGAATTATTAGGAGGAGAAATCTGCAAAGAGAAGATAGAGGAGTAAGAGAAGAAAGGGCCAGCCACCCAGCTATACAATAAACCATGGAGTAAGAAGTAAAGAAAGGTATACAGAAATAGAGAAAGATAAAAGCCCAGAGGCAAAAGATAGACAGGGATTTTAAAAAAGCTGGCTGGAAACAAGCCAAGCTAAGGCTGGGTGTTCATAATAAAGAATAAGTCTCTGTGTGTGATTATTTGGGAGTTGGGTGGCAGGCCCCTCAAAAGAGTAAAGAGCCAAAAAGCCAAAACACCAGTTACATTCCAGCGTCCAAACTGGCTCATCTTTATGGTACTTATGACAAGGCGAATTTACATTTGCTCACGATTTTTATCTCTATCATACCTGACAGAAACTAACAGGAGATAAGCAGGGTCTGGTTTTGTTAACTGTTTTATCACTAGTTCCTAGTACTGTGCTTAAGAAATACAGCCAGTTGTCATTACTTGTGAACTCTTAACAAATGCTCAATTACCCTACACCGAGCTCCTAGGCTCCTTCAAGTCTCTGCTGTCATCATTTTCATACACCACTCAACATATAATCCTGTGGTTCTATCTATGTTCTGCTTTTAGGGGCATATTATTTAAATACACATTAAATCTTTAAACACATAGAATATATTATTGATTTGTTAACATGGACCTCACAGCCAAGAACACTCACACATCAGGGAAGTTCATCTGACACGTGCTCCCTGCTAAACACATCACAACTCTCTTTTGCTTAGACTGCGCTTCAGCACTCCACTTACAGAAATCATGGGAGGCGGTGGCGGAGGCACAAAAATTCAAGAAACATGCAGTTAAGTAGACTGGGAAAGGAACACTTGTTTATATTATGGGAGCTCAAACAGAAAGGCAGAGGAAGACCTATTCCATCCAGCTGGGTGCATGTGTGTTAGAGAACTTGTATTTTCATTTACCTAAATACACATTCCCATGAATATTCATAAAAGAGCTACTGATTTGAAGATTTCAAATACATGTTAGCAATAAGTAAATTCACACTTAACACATCCGCAAATGAGGACCCATCAATGAGCATACCTATAGAATTAATCATTGGTTGTTGTCACCTTATTACAAACATTTTAAGTTACGGTTATTAATAACTGTCTTTATTGTGAATTATATAAAGCAAGGAATTTCTATGAAAAAACACACCAAGGTTAATATACGTATCTGTACATACCTGTATGATATTTCTTCTGACATGAAGGCAACTTAGGGAGCTTTGGAGGCAACGGTCTTCGAAGAAGTAGGATGTGCTGCTGCTGTGCTTTTAGGGAATGACAATCTCCCCTTCTCATAGCTGTTGGTTAAGTGGGAACTGAAGTTTCTGAGAATGAGCTGTTACTGAAAGGCAGTGGTTATCACTTAGAAAATGTCCTGACAGAAACCATCCTGTGCTGGTACCATACTGAGTTCAAGTAAGAAAAAGAGAGGAAGAAAATAATCATTCAAAACTTATTTTTGAAGCATTGTTGGCTTTTAAAAATTACATATATTATAATACAGGCTTAAGCATGCGGCTCAAGAGAGGTAGAGGAGTACTCGGAAGGTTCAATGCTTTCTTTCTGTACTGGATATTGAAGCTACGGTCTCCCTCATGCTAGGCAAGGTCTCTCCTCTGGAGTCAAAACTCCCAGCTCTCAAACTTATTTAAAATTTCAGATTAATGAGCAAGAAGTTGGGGAATGCACTTGTAAGCTCAACACTTACTTGAAAGACTGAGATAGAAGGAACAGCCTGGGCTACATGGGGAGGAGAGGCTCTTTTAAAAGTTTATTAATAATTAATATAAATAAAACATACACTATTATTAATCAGGACCATGCTAACATTTCCCGTGTGCATATGAAATTCAATTAGCCAATGCAATTTTCGGTCAGTAAATGGTGACCCCCTCCTCAAATGTAAACAAGACATTTCATTCGCTACCTCCCAAATATTATCAGTATAGACTTAGAAGGTCAAAAGAAGATGTGAAGGATCCTTCTATTGTAAAAGCCTCCGAAGTCCCAGACTATCTAACCACTCACAAACTGTTTTCTTGCATGACAAAGACTCGTTTTAACTTTCAGCCAACATAATTTGTTCATAATTATGCAATCCAAAAATAACATAGGCTTTAATACAATGAGATGTTCCTTAAAGGTGGGAAATCCCAGTTAATACTAAAATAACGACACAAGATGCACACACCCCCGGTCCACCCCACCCCCAAATGCGCCTCTGTTTGCAGGGCAACCTCAAAAAGTGCCTGGCACCGGCTGCCCCGCGGTCCGCCTGGCAGGGGAACCCTGGAGCGGTGCAGAGGAGCGGTTTACCCGCGAAAAGTTAACTGCAGGCCGGCGCTCGCTCCCGGGCTCTGGGCTGGCAGCGCGTGCTCGCCCCAAGTTTCCTTCCCTAGTTCCCGAGGAGCCAACCCCTCCCCCGCCCTGCAGAGGCGGGCTCCTACGGGACCCTGCTTCCAATCAAACAGACCAGCTTTCCCACATGCATCTCCTTGGCCCCGAAAAGTCCTGGCTGTCGGTGACCGGCTAGTGAGGTCTCCAGTTAGGTCTTGAGGTTTCTGCAGGATGCTGCTCCATTAACAGCATCCCAGGCGCTCCCACAGCCAGGTCCGACCAACCAGGAGCCTGCCACAGGCGGGTGGGAAGCGCAGGCGCACGAGGGCTGGGCGCGCCAGGGACGAGGGGCGGTGCCCGCGAGGTCACGCCCATCGACCCCGCCCACTGGCTCCACCCACTGACTCCGCAGGCCCCAGGCCAGTGCCCCCTATTTCTGCAGCGGGCAGCGCAGGATGCCGGGAGGCTGAGGCGGTGGAGCTGAAGGAGCGGCTCCACGTGCAAGCTGCTGTCCGGAAGGCTGTGGTGACAATTGTAATTACTCTTCTTACTCTTTAAAAACAGTGGCCACTATTATTTTCTCCATGACATGACCCGGGTGTCTGGAGTCTGGACTGGCATTTTCTAATAACGCGACATTTGGGGGCAACTGGCCACTGTTGCTCATTTTGCAGTAAAGCCCTCGTCTCCAAAGCGCACGTTCTGTTTTCCTTCTTGTCTCTTGGGTGCAACCTGTTTTGTCTTTCTGCGCCTTTAAAGTTCCTGGTGGAAGCGGGGCTGTGTGGGAACGGGCGCTTTAGGCAGCGGTTTCAGAGTGTTTTAAAGGATACCCAGGTCTCACTGTCACGGTGGTTGGCTGTAATTACCGTGTTGATGATGTTTCTGTCGTGGTGTCAGTGAATCTGCATGTTCGGGGCTAGATATGTTGTGCGTGTTTGCCTGTATGTGCATGCTTCTCTGGAGATTGGAGATCGCAAACTGGAAAGAACCTACTTCAGAGATGGGAAAATCCAGCTGAGAATTGAAGTGAGGGGCACTTGCTTCCAGGCGTCTCCCTTATACATTTCTCCTCTTAAGTAAGGGCGTGGGAAGTTTAGTAGCACGTTGGGAAATCAGAGACTTCCAGATTCCTTTACTAATCGAGTCTTCCTTTTTCTCCTTAGGAGCGAGCGTATATTTTGAAATAATGGGAAAAAAATTGTAATCAAAAAAGAGCCTGGGTAATACTATACAAATTGTTGTCCCGTGTTAGCATGGGGTTTTGTTATGTAGATTACTTTGTTCTAAATTAGGCGCTCTCCCCAAACCATGGATTTAGTCCACTTTTGCCTGTGTCTGCATCAGATTGACAAGAAGGACAAGAAGCAGACAGAAAGGCAAAGCTGGTGGCCAGGTTTGTCTCAAGTAATGTACATTATGCACATTTTGTAAACGTCAGAGATGTTTCTGTTCTTAAGGATAGAGATGTGTGGGCCAATCTCTGAAGCTGGTTCTGTATTCTTAAAAGCTGAGACCTGCTGGGATTCATTTTCGCTGACTGATGCTCCGCTTCTAGAATGTATGCTTAGTTTTGCATAGTCAAAAATCAAGGCAAGTGCATTTGTTAATTTGAAAAAAAAAAATGCTTTGTCATTCCTTTCAGGTTTCTTCTGGCAACTACCAGGACAGAACCTAGGACAGTTGAATATGTAACCTCCGAAGCTGTAAATATTTTGTCTTCTGTAACTATTATTACCACCTAGCTCCAACCACTTAGGGAAATGAGATAGTAATGAAAGTAAAATCCCTGGGTTGATTATCACCTACGCCCACGTCCGCTCCTCTACCACACCTTGCCTGTTTTTCCATGGGACTGATATATATATATATATATATATATATATATATATATATATATATACAGGAAAGGTTTTTGAAAGCCCACATTTCCTTCAGTTTGGATTACTTTAGCACTTCTTGTATTTAATTTGTTATTTGTTATTTTGAAAGTACAGCCACCTCACTCTCCCTACTCACTTTTTTTGGTTTTTTTGTTTGTTTGTTTTAAATACTGTTTTGTCTCCTCGAAATGAGGCTGCACCCTCTTTGGTTTTAAGGTTCCACTTCACCCGATGTCTTGTTCTCTTGGCCAGCTGACTTATGCCCTCAGCTTTGCCATTTGGCAGAACCTCGGCTTGTCGGCTTGTGCTCCGTTGGTGGATTGTGTGAAGGTAGCTAAGTTCATGGAGAGCACCAAGGTTATAGGAACCCTGCATCATTTTTTTTAATGCTGCTAAAATGAGCTAAGAGCCTTATGCAGAAGCAGAGACTGGAGCACCCCACAGATAATGCTATTGATTGTCCCAAGGATAGAGCATGCCCAGAGAACCGCGGATTTGCCATTGGTGAAAGGACGCCACTGTTGGATGGTGGGAAATGTTTCCTAGCGATCTTCATTATTTCACATAGACCTTTCTTTGATGGATTGATTGATTTTCCTTTCAAACGGGACAGAAGTTTGCTAAACAGTTTGGCCAGTATAGATCTAAGCTAACATCTTAGAAATAACTGGATATACTTGTATTCCTTTGCTTGGGTTATTTTTAAAGGTTCCTTTAGAGAAAGAATAGTTATTTTAGAGAGCATATCGATTCAGTAATGAGCCCTAAGGGCACTGCAATGCTTTTGAGAAAAAGATGTTTTTCTTGGCCTGAGTTTATACCAACTGTTGGTATTATATTAGTTGTGCATACTGAGAGTGTGTTTCGTCTCTACCAGTCACTACTGTGTGGCTTTAAGGACATATATTTACGTCAGAAGTTCTCATGCTCTACTGGAGGCTGGGTTTGTATTTTCTCAAATGCTTTGGAAGAAGCAGCTGCTGTCCTTATTGCCTGTGTTGGTTCAAAGACCAGGGCCTCCCCTCTGCTTTTCGTTATTGGGGCCACCTGTTTCCTTTTCTCTCTCAAGATGGACGCTACTTCCTTTCCTTTGTTTGAGTCAGAGATCCTGGGATTCAAAGCAAAAGAAAAACATTGCCAACAAGGAAATGTCATGGGATCCACATCGTGGAGTTAAGAAACAGTTCAAGTGCATGAAAGAACAATGCCTGTCTGTCCTTAACATTGTGTTTATGAATTCAGCCATTTGTTCAGGAATGATCTATCAGATGCCCACCCTGCACATGTCGCCTTGCTAGTCACTAAACCTTAACTTCATTGATAAAATACTATTTGAGGCTTTGTAATTTCAGCTACATAAATGAAATTCTAGATTATGCCCGAAGCGCTACTTAACTATAACTACTTGGACCAGTCTTTCTTTCTCTTTTGCTCTGGTTTTGTGTTATGTTGCTTGGATAGAGTAGTATTACTCAAACTTTCCCAAAACTCAGGAAGAATTTGTGTTACTTAGCTGCACTGGTCATTTTTCATTGTAGACTAATAAATTGTCTGCAACTAGACAATATCAGAAATGTTTTTGCACCAAAAAAGTTAAATAATACATCTTTCCTCTGTTATGTTGACCGAGGTCACTGTCCTGCATGTTCTGAGTTATGACATGCCCTGTCCTTCACTACATGGAAGGCCCTGCTGTGCTGGTTTGGTGTTTTATTTGGTATTTTATCTTTCTCTGCCACGCCTCCTGGTTGAGGATTCTAGTTTGCACATCACAGTCAATGAAAGGCAGTGTAGTGTAGCTTTTCTCTGGTGGCTTTGAATCTTCCTGCTGCCATTTGTTAGGTTGGTTTTCAGGCTCAGTGCAGGGTTTCTAAGTCCCTGCGGTTTCTTCACCTGCAAAACTGGGGGACTTCTGAGAATTGAGACATGCATATGCCCGTATGCATGAACTTCATCACTTCCGCTGAGCAAGTACCTGTGGCATTTGGAAATGCTTTATAATGACTTCACTATAGTGCCAGCAGCAGCTCGTCCTCTTTGCTTCTCAAATCGATTATTCTGCTTTATTCTCGCTGTCTGCATTGGACACATGCTTTATTTGTAAGTGTATTAAACTACAGATTGTACAAAAGGTGTGGTAATGGTGGAGATGGGCAGAGGTTGAGTGGACAGTCGGGGACATGTGGTATTCTGTGTTGAGGACCTTCGGGTCTTCTGCCTCAGCTGGATAACTACAGCTGTAGCCTCTCTCTCTCTCTCTCTCTCTCTCTCTCTCTCTCTCTCTCTCTCTCTCTCTCTCCCCCCCCCCCCCACTCAGTTGACAGTTTTCCTGGATTTCCACTTCTATATTGCACTCACGTTAGAAATTTTTTCTCAGGACTGACACTAATGAATGTTCTAGGATACTGCTTCTCCACATACCTCATGTGACAACCTTCCTTGCTGATCCAAGAAGGCTCCTTCCTTTCCCCTGCCAGTCATTCCAGGTGAGGTAATTCCCAGCAGAGGAAGAGGCATGGTATCCAGGAGCCTGGGGAAAAGAGCTGGGCTTGTCTTCTTGCCTTCCCTGCACTTCCAAGCAAAGCAGCTCCGCTGTCCGGAGTTTACCGCATTAGGCTCTGCACTCAAGAGTAGATTCTATGGCTGTAGAGCTTTGCTTCCAACCCATCAAACTGCATTATCCGTGCCTTGAGACTTAGTCTGTGCCACTAGTTTACACTGGAGTCATGGAAACCTTGTCTGGACATTGCTGAAAGGGTACGTTCTAGAACTTTACACATAACCGTTTCTTCTCAACCCACTCGGAACCAGATCCTGATAGAATAGCTGTGAGGCACTACTGCTCTCAATAGGTGCAGAAACGCGGAATGGTCTCTTCTTACACAGCCCTGACTCCATACCTGGACTTAACGCATTACAGAGATCACGTCCAGGGGATTTGTCCTGGGGCGTATCGCTTTGCACAGGTCTTACTCGGAAGAAGAAAAGCCCCTCCTCTACACTTGCTCAGTACAGGTGTTTGCATTGCATGCTAGTGAGGCGTTTGATGTGTTCAGTGAAGACTTAAAATGTATAAAGAAGAAAAAATAGCAGTAACAGGGCCATTGGTGACCCTGGCATTTGGAAAGGACCAAGAGAATGTCCTGCAGCAATGGGAAGTAGAACCAGGGAGTTAATATCCAGCTTGGCTCCATTAATAGAAATTATTTAGTTAGGGACAGGAAGGACCGGTTTTGCTAATCTTGTGCTGTGAGCTGTTATGATCTTGAAGCCATTCCTAAGGACGAGATTTGGCCCAGGGTGCTTCTCAGAAAGTGTGTTTCCTTTGTTTGTATCTATTTCCATAGGGAAAAGAGTTTTCCAGGAGAGGTGTCTTGGGTAATGCAGAGGGACATTAGCCTGATGGGGCTTTGAAAGCTTCAAGAGCTT